GCGGAAGTATGAGTGGGTCGCCCTGCCGCCAACACGAAGACTGGCCCCCGCCACATACACATAGTCCGAGTTCAAGGAGGCAACAAGAAGTACCCGGCCCTGCGGCTGGATGTGGGGAACTTCTCCTGGGGCTCTGAGTGTTGTACTTGAAAAACAAGGATCATTGATGTTGTTTACAATGCATCCAATAACGAACTGGTCTGCACTAAGACCTGGGTATTTTTCCAGAAGAACTGAAAACCTCATACCACAGCAATATATGTGCACCCATGTTCATAGCAGCGCAATTTGTCATAGCTAAATCTTGGAAACAACCCAAATACCCATCAACAGAGGAATGAATAAAAAAGATGTGGTATTTTTATACAATGGAGTAGTACTCAGCTATAAAGAAAGATAAACTAGAGGCTTTTATAGGTAAATGGATGCAACTAGAAACCATACTCGCAAGTGAAATAAATCAGACTCACATGTATAAATGTTGCATTTCCTCCCTACTATAAGAACCTGAAAGAGTAGGTAAAATTTGATGGGTATAATAGATATTGTGAAAGGGAAAGAAACTGGTCAAATAGGAAGGAGCAACTGAGATGAAGGAGGGGAGAGGAAAAAGAAAGAAGGAAAAGAAAAAAAAACATGTATATGTATACACAGGATAGCTAGGATAATTGTACTACTAATACCTGTTAGTTTATTGAAAAGAAAAGTTAATGAGTAATTGTTTGATCAATCTTAAGTGCCTATATCTGGTTATCTGTGCAACCATTTTGAAGATAACATTACGTACTATAACAACCATTGTTAATATCCCATCACCTTGTTTTGAAATTCTGTATCACTTTTTATTGTTTTCTATGCTGTTTTGTTTACTTATTTGTTTTGTTATTTTGGGATTTTTTCTTTTCTCTTTGAAATGAAAAACAAAATTTATATGTATATACAAGGATAGCTGGGATAGGTATATTGCTGAAGTCTGTAGTTTATTTACCAATTTTGCATGCTTGTATCTGGTAATCAGAACAACTGATCTGAAGACAACAATATGCAGCATAAGAACCATTGTTGAATTCCTACCTCTTGTATGGTGAAGCTCTGTATTGTTTCCAATTTTTTTTTTATTACTTGTTACTGTCTTTGATTGTTTGATCAATCTTACATTCTTACACCTGACGGACTGAACAACTTCGTTGAAGATAACAGCAAACAGTATGTAAGGGCAGCAACCACTGTTAATTCCTATTATTTTGTTTTGGGTCATGTATCTTTTTGTTGTTGTTTTTGGTTTTGTCTTCATTGTTGTTGTTTTGTTAGTTTTTTTTTTCTCTTTAAAATAAAATAAAAAGCTAGGACTAGAGTTCCCATTTGACCCAGCTATTCCCCTTCTTGGTAACTTCCTTAAAGAATTAAAAGCATCACATCACAGTAATGTACCACACCCATGTTTATAGCAGCACAGTTTATAATAGTTAAATCTTGAACACAGCCTCAATCCCCATTAATTGATGAATGGATACAGAAGATGTCGTTTTTTGTATACAAAGGGGCATTACTCAGCCATAAAGGATAAACTTGAGACACTTATCTTTTTTTGGGGGGGGGGGTTTGGTTTTTCTCTGGTACCGGGAACTGAACTCACGACCTTGCGCTTACCAGGCAGGCGCTTTGCCACTGAGCTAAATCCCCAGCCCGAGACACTTATCTTTAAGTGGGTGGACCTTGAGACTGTACTCTTCAGTGAAATAAATCAGACACATATGGGCAAATATTGCACTGTCTCTCTGGTGTGAGAAACTGAAAGTGTAAATAAGAACCAAATTGTATAATAGATACTGTGAAATAATAAGTAATTGTTCAAAAGGAAAAGGAAATGAGGGGTGGAAGGGAAAAGAAAAAAATGAGGTAAGAAAGAATAAAATAGAAACAAAGTTTTATAAATAAGGAGGGAAAGAACTAAGATGTATCATGTATAGGTACAAATTCCCTATGATGCATGTGATAATTATGCATATCTAAATTGTACCAATAAATTTAATTATTAAAAGAAAAAAAGAAAGAGCGCTGGTCGTCCCTTGTTGTTTCTGCCTGCCACTAATGTTTCTCCTCAGCAATGCCTGTCTGCCATGCCACCTTACCTTGGAGCTAGCCGTTTATCGACTTAAACTTTTTCATACTGTGAGCTAAACAAACCCTTTCCCCTTTAACTTTGAATGTCTGGCATTTTGTCTCAGCAATGAGAGAAAAGTAACTAAGACACAAGGAGAGACTCCCAAAAGGTGACTCCCTCAGCCAGGCTGTCCTGAGCATCAAAGAAAACGCACATGCTCATCCAGGTGACAGTGGCTACACTGTCAACCACCCCACTAGGTCGAACTCAGATGCTAAATTAGATGAGGGTGAGCAAACTACAGCCAACCTTCCACAAGCCATGGCCTGTCCATCATCTGTTTTTGAGTTCAAAATGGATTTTCTATTGTTTCAGTCACCAAGCATAGTGGTGCACACCTACAAACACAGAACTCAGGAGGCTGAGGCAGAAGGACTGCCATGAGTTCAGGCCAGACTGGGTTACACAGTGAGCTTGAGGCTAGCCTGAGGTACATAGGACATGCTGTTTCAAATCAATCAATCAATAAATAAATAAATAAAAGCTTTGTTGAGATATAAATCACATGGATCCAATGTAAAGCTGTTCTTTTTAAAATGTACAATCCAGTGATCTGTAATATATTTGCATTTGTACAATTGTGACATAATACACATTTTTTTGCTTTTTGTCCTCTGTACCTGACTTATAACTGCTTCCCCAAGGCATGCCATAAAAACTAGAATTTCTCTTCCCCAAGGTAAATCATAGAAGCTCTAACCTTCCTCACCTTTCTCTCTCCTACTTTGTCCAGAAGTATGTCATAAAGACCTGAAGTTCAGCAGGGGCCCTACCCCAGACCTGGAAGGAAGGAACATTGCCCAGAAGCTGAACAGACAAGCCTTGCTGGACTTCTTCACCCAGTCTATTAGTGATAGATACATATTAATTCTCCACTGAAAACTCAAAAGCAAGGGCTGGGGGTCAAGCTCCATGGTAGTGTGCGTGCCTAGCATGTGTAATACCCAGTGTATCACCCCCAGCACCAACAACACAAGGTTCCAACAGTCCTGGAGCTGAATACATGCAGGCTCCCGGGGGTGGTAACCCTGGAGAGGACATGGAAGCTCCACATCCACCCCTTCTCCATGCCTCACCCTACCCATCTCTTCTTTTTTTTTTTTGGTTTTTCTCTGGTACCAGGAACTGAACTCACGACCTTGCGCTTGCCAGGCAGGCGCTTTTGCCACTGAGCTAAATCCCCAGCCCCCCTACCCATCTCTTCACCTGTGTGATATCCTCCATAATAAACCACCAAACGTATGTCTTTAGAGAGCTCACAGCTCCTGTGAGCTGCTCAAACAAATGAACTGAACTCAAAGTGGGGTTTGTGGGAAGCCACAGTTATGAGCTGGCTGATCAGAAGCCCAGGTAAAACAACCGGGGCATGTGAAGTGGGTGGGGAACAGTCCTGGTGACTGAGCCCTCAGCCTGTGGAATCTGATGCTGTCACCAGGGAGGCAGTGGCACAACTGAACTGAGCTGAAGGACGCCCGGCTGTGGGGTCCACTTGGCGTATGTGCTGTGGGTGGGGGAAATCTGCACAAACTGGATATCAAAAGTGATCTCTGTTGTAAGGAGAACCTGAACTAGAATTAGTTTTTCCACCATATCCTCCAAACAACCATCACCACTATCTCAGTTTAGACCATTCTGATGGCACCAAAAAGTAACTTTTCAGCAGCCGCTCCCCTCAGCCCTTAGCAACCATGTCTTCTTTCTGTCTCCATGAATTCGCCTGTACTAGACCCTCCCTGGAATGGAACCACATCATACAGGGCTTTTGTATCTGGTTTCTTTTATTCCTTTCACTGTCATTTTTACTATTTTGTAGTACTCCTCAGTATTTAGTTCCTTTTTAGCTACATAGATATAACACATTTTTTCAAAATCCACTTATCAGTTGAAGGACACTTGGGTTGCTTCTGCTTAGGGCCTGTCATGAATTGTGCTGCCAGGATGGAGCACACTGCAGGATTCTACGGCAACTCCACATTTAACACCGGAGGAACTGCCAGACTCTTTCCCAAAGAGGCTGGACCATTTTTATGATCTCACTGGCACCTCCTCATGTTCTTAAATGCTTGAGAAGAAATCAAATAGACGAAGAAGAAAATTTCATAACACCAAAATATGACATGAAATTCACATCTCGGTGCCTGTGAATAACTCTTGGAAACGCAGCTATGGCCATTCCTTTATAAATTATCCATGGCTGCTTTTGAGCTCTAAGTGCAATAGTGAGAGATCACATGGCCCACACATTGGAAAATATGTACTAGCTGGGCCTTTATAGGAAAAGTTTGACAACGTCTGCCCAGACTGCTACCTCCACCTCACTGTGATCCTCTTATCCCCAATACAGAAAAGATTCTGCACTTATAATCAGATCTAACATAACTTTCACTAACCACACAAATAATAATAACCCTAACCTCATGTGTGCATGCATACATGCATGCATGTGTGTGTAGTGTGTGTGTGTGCATGTGTGTGTGTGTTGCTAGCATCAAATGCAGGGCCTTATGCGTGCTGACCACATACTCTGCCATTGAGCTACACCCCATCCTACTCCTCTATTTTCTTGGTTATGGAACATGCAGCAGTTCTGGCCATACAGCAGCTATGTATAAATGATCAGTACATAAGGCCATAATTAGGCAGCTGGCATTATGTTGCCTGAGCAGATCGCCTGCAGGAATGCAGGTATCTTTCATCTTTACAGAACAGTAAGGACTCTAAGGACACTCAGGATGCTAAGCTTGCTAAGTAAGGTGTGCCACTCAGACTCTCACTCAGAGCCATTGCTTAGGAAGCACCAGTGTAAGACTAAGCAGAGAACAAAAGGAAAACTTACCTGCATCTGTCTTCTGGCCCATGCAAGAGTAGACAGAGGCCTGTAAATCACCCATGGCCACGCCCACCTGCGTCCCCTTTGGGATTTCAAACCATGTGTGGGAGGTTCTGCCTGCCACACTGCCTGGCTGGGCAATGTCAGGGAGCAGGTGGACAGGAAAGCCTGAGCTCCTCAGTCTGCAAAACAAAAATGGACGCCTATATTTAGCTGGTGTTCCACTTTCTGTTTTTTGTTGTTTCCAGGAAACCTGGTGAGGGAAAGCACTATGGGTCACACAGAAGAGGGGATAGAAACTAGTGTTGTCACGGACTGCCTCTTGGGCTTGTTTTAAACCAAAAGTTTGGGATTTACCTTCCAGGGAAGAAACCCACCAATTTAAACAGTAGCCATCAGATTCCATGAACGTTCCAGTATCCCACCCCCAAAGCATGCCAGGAGGCAGCCAGAGATTTGTTGTGAAGTTAAGAGTTGGTTAGCGCAATCCAGACCCCAGTCAAACCCACCAGCCTCCTGAGTATCAAATGCATCCATCACTCAAGGTTAGTGAATAACAGGGCTTCCTGTTTTATAAAACATGCTAGAAAGTCCTTTACCTGAACTACCAAGTGTTTTTTGCTTTGTTTCAGAGCTCAGAATTTGGGCCCTGAAGGAAATGGACTTAAAGGGCGCTGGACTTCTGTACCTGAAAAGGCAAACGATTGTTTAAAAAGAACCTAAAAGGCAGCCCTCCAGCCTACTACCTCCCATTCTTAATCTCAGTGAGGAATGTAATAAGCCATAAAAGTTCCAGATGGGAAAACTCCCCATGAATCTCTCTCCGGGAGGCGCCCTTTGCTAGAAACCACCCTGCAAGGTTACACTCACATCTCCAAGTTCCAGCTCTGGCTCTGGGTGTTGAAATATCCCCAGCTAGCGGCATTCTGGTCAGACATCAGGGGTCTTTGCAAGCCACACAGCATGGCAACCACGTAGTCTTGGATGGTGCCAGCTGCACTGTAGGACTGCAGGAGCTCTGGACTGTTTTTTTTTTTTTAACATCAAAAACAATTCAATAAAGTGTATACAGATGTGGATGCACATGCTGCTCCTAGCTGTGGGCAGAGGGGACTAGACACGGCATAGGTGGGACACAGCCACAACCCCTCATGCTGTGGCTCAGGTACAGCTGATCCCTGGGGCAAGGTCCTCCCAAACACTCCCAGCAAAGCCAACATGAGTCAGCCCGAGGGGAAGGAACTTTAGCAAAGAACCACTATGCTGGGAAGACAGGACATGGGAAAGCAGGTTCTTAGCGAACCCCTGGTCCCGACCCCACCACTGACCCACCATGTGACTCTCGGCAAGTCACCTGCCCTCCCTGTTCTTACCCCCACTGAGCTAGAACTGGACAATTAAGAGATCTCTGCAAAATGGAGCTGTTCTGGACCAAACCTAGATATTGTGTGTCAGGGCACACACACTGAGGCCCAGTACAACAGGAGCTGCAGCCCCTACCCACTCTCACCCCTGGAAATCCAGTGCTCATTCAAACAGCAGTTGTCTTACCTGTTTTTCAAAAGCCAGAAGATGGTTGCACAGCCAAACCCAGTGGCCACGCTGAGATGGGATGATGGCCGGGGCAGAGAAGCCAGGAACTCACTGCTACACCGGCCATCCTGCCAGGTAACCAGGTGACTCACAGCTCTGGCCTCAAACATGGGGGCAGCACTGCCCTCCACCCATTCACAGCCTGCAACCAAAGAGATGACCAAAAACGGAGAAGAGAGACCTGAGAGGCCACTGACACATCCTTGAGACGTCTTTGCTGGTGCATCTTGAACACAGATGTTTTCACCATGTGGCAATGCTTGGCTCACACGTGATTCCGGTATCAGAATGGCTATGTGACCCTAGCAAGTCATTAAATCCCTCCATTTGTCCCACATATGCTTTCTTTTAATTCATTTTTAAATTGGTATTATGTACCACTTCACACACATCTCATAAGAGAAGATATTTGGCATTCTCAAGTCCTCTGGTCTCCCTTTCCTCCCACCCTCATCAGAATACATTATCTAGGCTTGTTTCTGATTGATTACCAACATATTTTCTGTTCTTCCTTAGTTTTAGCTAACTGGTGTGTGTGTGTGTATGTGTGTGTGTGTGTGTGTGTGTGTGTGTGTGTGATGGAGAGCAAATTCAGGGCCTCACACATGCCAAGTATGCATTCTGCCACTGAGTTCCAGGCTAATTGATTCTTTTGGGTCAAACTTCACTAGCAAATCTGGCTGTCTCTACCTCACTTATCTCTTGTCACATTTTCTGGAATTATTTTCTGTTCTTATAGAAATATTTCATCCAAAACTTGCAACTAGAGACTCATAAGTGAAATAAACAAGACCTGCATGTGTAAATATCCAATTGTCTCCCTAGTATAAGAACCTGAAAGAGTAAATAAAACCTGAAAGGTACAATAGATATGGTGAAAGGGAAAGAAGTCACTCAAAGGAAAGGAACAACTGGGATGAGGCAAAGGAGAAAAGAAAGAAAGAAGGAAGGGAAAAATATATATATGTATATACAAGGGCAGCTGGGATAATTGTACTGCTGATGGCTATTGGTTTATTGAAAGGAACAGTTACTGCTTAAATTTTTTTTTTCTTCTCTTGACCAATTTTGCCTGCTTATATCTGGTAATCTGAACAACTACTTTGAAGACAACAATGTGCAATACGACAACCATTGCTGAATTTCTACCATCTTGTCTGATAAAGCTCTGTATCATTTCTAACATGTTTTTTACTACTTGTTATTGTCTTTAATCATTTGATCAGTCTTGCACTCTTGCATCTGGTAATCTGAGCAACTTCACTGAAGATACCAATATCTAATACAACAACCACTGTTCATTCCTATCATCTTGTTTTGAAACACTGTATCATCTTTATTGTTTTTGTGTTGTTTTACTTTTGTCTTTGTTATTTTGTTATTGTTTTTCTCTTTAAAATAAAAATAAATAAATATTTCACCCAAAACTGTTTCCAGTGTAGGTCTTTCTATGGCAAAGTACCCATAGGCCTCTGATACAGCCTCAGAATGCTCCTCATAGTCTTATATTTGAATGATAGTTTGATCAGGTATAACATCCTGGGTTCTAAATTCCTTTCCTTTAAATCCTTAAAAACATTATTTGTGGTAGATTATCACAAATGCTTCACTATGCCTCCCAGCAAGAGGTAGTGTCTAAATCTCATTTCCTTGAATTATGAGCTGGCCTTGGTGACTTGTTTCACCAAAAAAAAAATGAGTTGTAAGTCTTGGAATTCCCAAGGTCAGGTCATAAAGAGTGCTGTGGGAAACCAGCCTGTAGGCAAGGAGTTCAGCTACTGTGAGGACCGTGCTGGAGACCAGAGGGAGAGGCCACATGCAGGCATCTGGCGGATGTTTCCAGGTGAGCCCAGCCTTGTAGCCCTCCCTCCACAACACCAGGCACTGACCAAAGCCATCATGAACCTCCTGACCAGTCTGCCCACCAGCTGAACACGAAAGGCAACTTCCACCAGTTCCATGTAGAACAGTCAGTTGGCTGAACCCTGTCCAACTCCTGACTTAGGAAACACAGTTAAGATGGTGGTAATTTTAAGTCACTAAGTTTGGAAGTAGTTTGTGACACAAAAACAGATAATCGAAATATGATTCCAGCCTGCACTGTGCTGCACACCTCTAATGCCAGCACTCCTGAGGCTGAGGCAGGAAGATTGCTATGAGTTTGAGGCCAACCTGGGCTACATAGTGAGTTCAAGGTCAGTCTGGATTACAGAGCAAGACTCTGTTTCAAAACAAAGCAAAACAAAAAATGATTCCATTCTATTTTTTTTTTTTCAGTACTTGGGATTGAACCCATGGTCTGCACTAACCTACATCCACAGCCCTCTTTTTATTTTTTATTTTGACACAGAGTTTCACTAAGTCACTAAATTGACGAGGCTAGGCTCCAACTTTTGATCCTCCTGCCTCAGCCTCCTACAGTGCTAGGATTATAGCTATGTACCAGCACACTTGGCTAAAACAGGCTCATTTTTTTAACTTGCAGTACTAGGTATAGAAACAAGGCATTCTACCACTGAGCTACATTCCCTGCATTTTTTTTTTTACTTCGTGTTGCTACAGAAAAAGTCTAATGTCAATCTGCTTCTTATTCACTTATATGAAATCTTATCTTTGGCTCTGTAAGCTTTTGAAATTTTCTCTTTGATCTTCTTTCTTTTTCTTTTTGCAGTGCTAGGAGTTGAACTGGGCCTTTGCACTGAGCTACATCCTCAGCCCTTTTTTTTTTTACTTATTTTGAGAGAAAGTTTTACTAAGATATCCAGGCTGGGATGGAACTTGTGATTTTCCTGTCTCAGTATTTGAATTCTTAAAAGATACATTCACCAGCATATACCTACTAGTGAGGACTTTCTTAACATTCTGTGGAGGGCTGGGGATATAGCTCAGTGGCATAAGCACCTGCATGGCTAAGCGCAAGGTCCTGAGTTCGATTCCTGGTACCAAAAAAAAAAAAAAATCTGTGAGCCACTCTTGGAGATAGACTGAGTGCATTTTGCATTGAGAAATAGGAGTACTACTACTGGTAGCATGAGCCTTTGGAAGCCAGGGCAGAAAACTGTGGTTTAGATCTGGAATGTCCCCCAAAGGCCATGTGCCAGGGGCTTATTGCCAGCTAATGAGCTTTTAGCAAGTGACTGGACCATGAGTGTTCTAACTTCATCAATGGATTCATGCATCGACAGGTTATAGCTCAACCAGCTTAGTAGGAGGTAGGGCCTAATTAGATGAAGACGGTCACTAGCTTTGAAGGACAGATTTTGTCCCCTACCTACCTTGCTGGCTTTTCCCTCTCCTCTCTTTTCTTCCCTCTCCTCTCCTCTCTTTTCTCTTTCACCATCTCATCTCTTCCACTTCCTCCTCTCCCTCTCCCTCTCTCTCCTTCCTGGTTGCTTTCTGTCCAAGGCAATGAAACCAGCCAGCAATGGACGGAAACCCCTGAAACCATAAGCCACAATAAAACTTTCCTCTTTTAAATTGTTTTTCTCAGGTCACAGTAATGGAAAGTGAACGCAAGACCTTTTTGGTTGGGAGTATTTCATCTTACTTTGTCAATTATGGGAAATTTTTCTCCATTCTTTTCTCAAATATTTCCTCCTTTCTAATTTTATTTTTCCCTTTCCAGGATTCTTATTAGTTACATGCTGGTGCTATTTCTATCTTCAAGATCTTGCATATATTTCTTCTACTTCTTTGTTCTTTCTTCCTTCCTACTAAGAGATTGCCTTATCATATCTTCCATTCTCTGGTTTGTTCTGAGGTTTTATTCACTCTGCTATTGACCTCATACATTCTTTGTTTCAACTGCTATATTTTCATACCTAAATATTTGCTCTTTTTTATATGTTCTTTTGTTCCATGCTTGATGAGATTTTCCTTTAATGTTGTTTACTGTATCAAGCTAATTTTAAATTCTCAGTGTGTCCTACGCTGAGTTCTGCCTCTGATGATACAATCAAATCAAATAACCCAGCACAATGCTCCCCTTGTGAAACCGCTGTGCTCTTCAGTTCTCCTGTTGTCCTGGCCCATGAGATCATTTGCTCCTGGAAACACTGGTTACATTGCCAGGCAATTTGAAGGGCCAGGCCTCAGTTTCTGCCACCTCCAGTGACCTAGGAATGATGCAAGAGTCCTGGAGCCGATTCACCAATAAATCTACAACAAACCCACACCCACCGCACAAAGTATCTCCGCAGGCCCAGGCTTCCCATTTGTCCCCCAAAAAATAATGTTATGAGGACCTTAGATTGTAGGTCCTGGAGTTTGAAGGGAACAATTGATCTTCTCTGCTGCCTTGATCTTATCCCCCAAAACTGCTGAGTTCCCGAAGGCACAGAGACAGGTGACCACAGGGAGCAAGGGGAGGCAGCAGTTTCCCTTCTGGCTGGCCTTCCCACCCGCAGTGTTGGCTGCTTCTGGCCAAGATCCAAACCACCAACCCACACACTCCAGCTCAAAAGAGCCCTGTCACCCCAAGGTTTCTCATGGTGCTCTCCCCTTTTCTTAATGGTTTCCCCCTCCTAATATTTCCCTCAAACTTGATCTTGGAAACAAAAGCTGGTAGTCACACTATCTCATCATCTTGATGGAAACTGTATCTAGAAGTCCAGAAGGCACTTAAAACTTTGTTACCCCAGATCCTAATGGCCCAGCCACTTTACTCTGGGCTAGTAGCAAAGAGAAGCACTATAGTTAGGATAGGAGTATGTATGCTGTGTATATAGGGTTGTATATATCAAATGAGTTAACAAATACGTATTTATATATAAAGCTGTATTGGTCAACTTTCTCTTGCTGGGACAAAATACCTGATACACACAATTAAAGTAAGAAAGGTTTATTTTGGCTCACAGCTTCAGAGGTTTTGGCGCACACTTGACCAGCTCTAAGGCAGAAACGTCATGACAGAAGGTCATGATGGAGGAACGCTGCCCTTCTCACAGCAGACAAGGAACAGAGTGAGAGGGAAAAAGCCAGAAACACAGAAAGGGGCTGAGGACAAGAATTTATCCTTCCAGGTTAAGTCCTCAGCCAGGCCTCACCTCTTAACAGCACATCCACCTATGAACTCACCAAAAGGGGTTAGAGCCCTATGATCTAACCACCTACCAAAAGCCAAATTCTGAATACATCAGTCTC